TTATAGGCATGAGCCACCAGCGCCCAGCTGGTTATCTACTTTCTATTTCATTGCTTTCTGATTTTTTATTTCCATTTTTTAATTTTAATAATTACTCTTGTTTTCCTCACTTGTTAAGGTAGAAGGTTAGACCGTTGGTTTGTTAAGATAGAAGCTTAGATCACTGGTTTGAAATTTCCGCTCTTTTCTCCTCTCTTTGTCCTTTCTGTCTTCTTTTTCTTCACTCTATCACCCTTCTCTGTCCTCTCTTCCACTTTTTATTCTCTCTATTTCCTTTCTCTTTCTCTCCTCTTGGTGCTGGTCCTGGGGCTTAAAATCAGATCCTGGGTCCCTGAGTCTTTTTTTGTTCAAAATTAGCACTTTGCCACTTGAGCCACAGCTCTACTTCTTGCTTTCTGATGATCAATTGGAGATAAGAGTCTCGCAGACTTTCCTGCCTGGGATGGCTTTGAATCACAATCCTCACATCTCAGCCTCTTAATTACCTAGGATTACAGGTGTGAGTTACTAGCACCCAGTTTCTTCTTTCTAATAGAGACCTTGCTAAGAGACCCAGGCTGGTCTTGAGCCCTGGTTCAAGAGCTGGTCTTGAGCTCAAGCAATCCTTCTGCTTTAGCCTTCCAAGTAGTTAGAACTACAGAAATATATATTGTGATTAGTGCTCACAGAACTATTTAAAACTATAAAATTTACCTCTATTGTAGTTGTATCTCACAGAGTTTGATATTTTGAGAATTCATTATCATACAGTTCAACATAATTTTATATTTTCCTTAAGATTTACTCCTTGAGCCAGGCATGGTGGTGCATACCTATAATCCATCATTTAGGAGGCAGAGGCAGGAAGTATAAAGCCAACCTAGGCTTCTGAGTGAATCCTAGGGTAGTCTGGACCACACAGTAAGACCCAGTCTCATGTGAACAAAAAAACTAACAAAAGATTTTGTCTTTTACTGGTGGGTTATTTTAATATGTGTTGTTTAGAAGTGAAGCTGTGATTCAAGTAGTAGAGTACTAGCCTTGAGCACAAAAGTTCAGGGACAATGCCCAAGACCTGAGTTCAAACCCAGGACCCGTACACACACACACAAAAGTGTTGCTTAATTTCCAAGTAGCTGGGAATTTTTGTAGGTATATTACTATTGTAAAAATTGGACAAAAAAATGCATGGACCATCCATATAATGCCTGTAAGAGAAACACTTTAAATGTTAACACACCATTAAATTAAAATTTTAATAAAGACTCACCATATACAACATTGCATTAGACAGCTTGTATTAATATTTAACAAAGTGGACTTGAAAAATGACTTGCCAAAGATAAGGGAATACACTTATTAGTAAGAGGCAATTCATCAAAAGTATTAATATTTAATATTGTTATAGTCAGAAAGCATGTTTTGTATGATTTCAGTACTTGAGAATTTATTGAGATTATTTTATAGCCTAGAATTTTCATTTGAAGAGAAGGTATATTCTGTTATCATTTGATATTACTGTTCATTTCTATAAATGTCAGATAAGTCAAGTTGATAATGTTCAAATATTCAAAATTCTTATTGATTTTTTTGATAGCCTACTAATGACTAGTGTAGTTGTTACAGAGAAGTCTGTTAATATCTCCATGTATTACCATCAATTTGTTACTTTCTCATTTTAGAAAGTTCTTTCATTTTGCCTCATATATTTTGAAGCTTTATTATTTTGTATATGCACATTTGGAGTTTCTGTGTCCTTTTGACAAATTGGCTCTTATCATTATTGAATACCTCTACCTCTGAAACAGTCTTTTACATAAAGTCCATTTTTATTTAGCTCCATCAGCTTTCTGCACAGTTTACATAGCATATCTTTTTATTTTACTGTATTTATAGAAATAATTCTTGGGTATTTTTATCTTAATTTATACAATAAAACTTTTAATTGGATTAATTTATATGTAATCTGTTTTTTTTACTTAGTTGGATTTAGGTGTGTCATTTGGTATTTAATTTATCCCATATGTTTATAATTTCTCTATTCTTTAATTTATCCCAAATGTTTATAATATCTCTATTCTTTACCTGTATTCTTTTAGATATATTGAATATTCAAAACACTGCTTTGCATTGTTTGCAGTAAAAATATTAATCTACATATTTTCACTGAGGCTAATACCTTTCTTTCTTTCTTTCTTTCTTTCTTTCTTTCTTTCTTTCTTTCTTTCTTTCTTTCTTTCTTTCTTTCTTTCTGGTGTTGGCACTGAACTCATGGCCTTGTGTTCTTGGTTCAAGGCTGGGCTCTACCAGTTGAGCCATACTTCCACTTTTGCCTATTTGACTGTTAATTGGAGATAAGAATCTCTCAAATTTGTTTGCTCAGGCTGATATTGAACCTTGATCCTCAGATTGCAGCATTTTAGTACCTATAGGCTAGAGGCAATAATATCTTAGTTAAACTTACATTCAAATTAGTGTATACCAAAAGAGATTTAAGGGAGGATATATAGAAATGGATGTGGTGATACATACCTGTAATCGCAGCACTTAGATAGCTGAGGCTGGAAGATTAAGATTTTGAGTTCCAGGATGGCCTGAGTAGCAAAGGGAGTTTTAGGGCGACATGGTGAGTCCCTATCTCTCCTCCCCTGGGGAAGGGAGGGAAAGAGAGAAAAAGCACAACTCTACAACTCCCCTGCACTGGCCCCGCCCTTCCAGTCTGACCCCTCTCCTCCCTTTCTAATCACAAAATGGAACCCAGGTACATTTTAAGCTAATCTGGTAGCTAAACCATAAAATGCATATTTATAAACATCTATAGTCAGTATAGTTGGGTGGCTGTTTATAGACTGTCACACTCTTTTGTCTTTTCTTTCTTTGTCACCACAAGCAGCTTAAGAGCTACCCTGGAAAATATGAAGTAAATTCCTTCTAATTAGCTGTAGGTCAGGTGAATATCATTTTTATGTGGTAAGTTACACAATTCATGAGCAGCTTGCTGATGCCTCTAAATATTTATAAATATGCAAATATAATTTTATATAAATTTATTATATTTATGTGATAAAGATAAATAGCGACACAACATTATATGTGACTGTTACAGATAAGAAGTGAGTGAAATAGATGAAGATGTTGGAGTGGTTAATTGGAGAAACAACTCTGTAAGCAAGGAAGTTGCCACATTATTTAGATTTTGGCCGTAAGATGAGCTGTCTGCAAGCTTAGCAGTGTCTACAAGGCACACACTGACACTTCCCTGAATTTCCTACTATTTCAGTCTGGTTATATATTTTTTTCCTCTCTGGCTATCTTACAGAGATTCCTGGTCATTATTGTAAAAAAACAAAAACAAAAAACTTTCCTTTCCCCACCCCCTTCTGTGTTTTCCTTTTCTTTTATAGATACAGATCGGTATCATGTGATTTACAAGATTGAAATTTCATTTCAGTTTGGCTTTCCTGGGTAGGAAACGTTTACATGATTTTACACTTTTGGAATATGAATTGCCTGTCTTTCTAGGTGTAATCAGTTTCTGCTCTCCATCATACAGAACATTTTATGAATATATTCAGTGCAGAAAGAAATCTAAAAATAATTTTGCAGGTAGGGCTTTGTTAAGTCTTGCGTGGAATACTGGTTAGGGAAAAGAACAAAGACACATCAGGGTAAAGGTAGGGGGAGGCGGAGCATTTCGTGTCACTTACTCCACCAAAGAGCTTGCATTTAGTGGAGAAGGGAAACAAACAAGAAGCTGGAGCATCTGCCCCAGCTATTATTACATGCTTCATTTCTCATCACTGCTGGTCCCATTTGAATGGAACGTTGCAGTCTTTCTGGTGTGCATTACTAAGCTCCTTTTTTTTTCTTCAGAAGGAGAAATCTTGAATTTTATGTTTAAAAGCACAAAGAGATATCTTTGACATTCTCAAGTTCATTTTGAAATTCAGTCTTACACCTTATTCATTTTCAGTAAGGTGGTAAAGGGTGTGCAATATATTGCATTTTTATGCGTAATAGCACCTCTTGTAGCCCCTGATGTGTATTATGTACACATACCTTGTTAGCATCTGTTTCTACCTGACAGATCACAGCATTAGGTTGAATGTTATGATGAATAAGTGAAATGCCAAACAGTATTACAATGAAATTTTATTACAACAAGTAAGCACCTAGAGTTTCTTTTTAATGCTTTTCTGTGACAATTTTAAAATAACGTATTTACCATTGTATAATTAAGAAGATATATTCTTCATTAAATGCTTAAGTTATTCTTCCAGAAATGAGAATTGATTTGGGCTGATCTAATAATGATTTTCCTTTAGAGCTAGAATTAAAGCATGTATTTTGTGAAGGAAAATCTATTTTAAAATCATATTACTGGCTAATATACAAGATTAATATAAAAGTACAGGTTCCTGAGCAGGAGGTATGGCTCAGAGGTAGAGTGTCTGCATAGCAAGCAGCAAGTTCTGAGTTCAAACCCTAGTTCTACCAAAAAGGAAAGGAAGGAAATGGATTACTAGGGTCCTGTTATAGTAGTTACAAAATTTTCATATTGCTTAGCTTAATATGAAGAATGCGTTTTAATAGGTTTTTCTTAATTTGTTCCTACATTTGGGTTTTTGGTCTAGTGGTCATGAAATATTCCCTAGAAAAGTTGAATTTCTAAAACAAAAATATCCTTTGTGTCTAATAATGTCTTTAGTAACACATAATTCCAATTCTGGGCTTACATGATGTGGCCAGGTGATTAAAAATTGAATAAGCAAATCACTAACAAAGCAGTTTTGTTGGAACTATTGTTTGTAAAGAATTCCAGCCAGTGTCATCCCATTTTCTAAACTCCTTTTTCCTCTCCTGTCAGAAAGAGGCAATCATGTGCATATTTCATTTGAAAATGTTTAGTTTCCAGTCCTTTCTAAGGTTATAAACATCTGGAAACAGAACTTAACTAAAAAACAAAAACACAAAAAACGCTGTAATCTATGTTAACTATTTAATCATTTGTGACTTTGCAGATACTGCTTATGATGAATGTGATTTGGAGAAATTGTATTTGTTGTCTAAGGCAAAGGAAGGTGCCATCCAGATGCCAAAGTGGTTACCATCCAGTGGCCCCTCTGGGATCAAGGATTTTAACTGACCCAGCCAGGGTGTTTGAACACAACATGTGGTAAGTTTCAGTTTTTAGGTCTGATACTGTATGTGTTAATTACATATCATCAGTGAAATCACTTCCACTGGACAGACCAACAAGGTAACTAGAAGAGGGAAAGGATTAGGAAGAAAAATTTTGAAGGAAGAATAAATAGAACTTGGTAGACGTAACATATCCAATAGTTGCCTGTACAGATTTTACTTAAGATGTTCACCTATGTGTCTTCTTTGTTCTATTATTTTTTCTAAGTGTGATTCACTAAAAGTTTACAAAGTGGGCTAGGGCAGGAAATGTGGCTTAGTGGTAGAGTACTTGCTTAGCATGCATGAAGCCCTGGGTTTGATTCCTCAGTACCACATAAACAGAAAAAGCCAGAAGTGGTGCTGTGGCTCAAGTAGAAGAGTGCTAGCTTTGAGCAAAAGAAGCTCAGAGACAGTGGCCAGGCTCAGAGTTCAAGTCCCAGGACTGGCCAAAAAAAAATAATAATAAGTGGGCTAAGTCATTCTCTGCGGACCCTCGGTGAGACCTGGATTTATAACATGACTTTTGTCATAGAAGCCATTTGAATATGACTTTCCAGAATAATAACAGGGCCCAGATACCAATAATTATTTCTTATAGCATAATTTTTCTTTTTTTTTTT